AAACTTACTTTTCTTATTATGTACTTCAAAGGAACTGTGGGAAATATTTGTTTTATTGCCGATGCTAAATCTGTTAAAATGACATCAGCATTCTGTGAAAATTAAATAAAATATACATTAATATAAAATAAAAAGGGTATAATAATAAATAAAAATTCTAAAAAAATTATTATTACAAAGTTTTAGCTATAAAACGTACCGAACTAAAATTCCCCGCATCTCCTGTTGTGGCAAATGAATATGGTCGATCATTTGTAATGATGGAAAAATGTGTGGGTTTCTTACTCTCTACCGCTTGTATGTCTAAATAGTGAAAATGACACTCGATCTAAAAAATAAATAAAAACAATTTCAATCTAATATATATCTTTTTATTGACATGTGTATTAACTTACTTTTGTGGGCACTTTCGCTACTAGTAAATATATGCGTACTGGTGTGAAAACCTGCAATGAAAATATTAAATAAATTATTAGCAATTTTCGTAGAATATTAATTAAATGTGCATAATTATAAATAATATATTCTGCATAAAATATAAAAATATTTTAATATTCAATATATGTAGGTAGTAAGTAATACCAAATTAATTAACTTTTGTGTAGACAAAAATACATTTTATTAAATGCAGCATATACAACAACAAAATTACTGTACTACACTGTACAAATAGTCCTAATATAGTAATTCTAGTACAACAAAAACGATTGTGGCTCGTATTAATAATCATATCATATCATTTTTCATTTCATGTCAATCGAAAAAAAAACTTTTTTTGATATATATCTGAAATATACACTTAGTACCTAGTTCGTATTAGGTCTTATATATTTAAAAGTCTAAAAATATAATACAAAAAATGAACTTTCATAGCAAATTAACAAAAACCTTAAAGTTTCAACATACAAGTCAAGTACGGCTTTGGAACACTGACTCTGAGCTTCAAATTTGGCAGGGCACGATTTCAATGAAATGGACATCAGTATATTTTGAAGAGTTTTAAATAAAGGTTGGCTTTCTCAAATAAAAAATGAATATCATTGTTACATATTCTTATATGTAAAAATATCACTGCATCAACAGCATGACTTGCCATCTAACCAATTAAAAGCCTTTAATAATATATGTATGTATAAGATTTTCTATTTAAATAAAAGTCTAGGCATAGAAATAGTCTATACTCTCAAAATGTGACTGAATTTTTAAAATTTAATATACGAGTAAGCTCAAAGTTTTAATTAATTTAGAATTTTTAATGTGGATTTAAAAACTTTCAGCAGATATATATAGTACAGATTTTAATGAAGTTTAAAAAATATAGATGAGCTATTGATGACTTTAAATTAAATAAAAGTTGCTAAATTGCTCATATACATTTATTTTTTTAAAAAATAACATTAATTATAAATATCAATTAATTAAGAATTGATCCTTATTAATTATAGAATTATATTTACTTACTTAGTAAGTAAGTAAGTAAGTAAGTATTATAGAATTATAAGAATTATAAAAAGAATTCAACTCGTCAAATTAACTAAACATATGGTTTCTTTATCAAAGAAATAAAAATTTAAATATATTAACTTAATTCGTAGCGAAATAGAAGTCTATTAAATATTCCTAGCTAACTCCCAGTTCAACCTTTGACACTGACATTGTACGTTTAAGAACAGTGTAGACAGACAGCTACTTATTTAAAAGATAAATAAAAGATTTAGTGATTAGAGGGTGATATCCTTTGACTTGCGTGCTGAGGATTAAATACACTACAGTAATAATAATTAACCATTAATACAGCCCATCAATGGCAACGCTTTCTTGCACTTAATGTTGCAGTAACTTCAATCCATGTGAACACACAAGACTTTCAAGTGTTTGTTGTATATATGAGGGTTTAATACTATCAATTACCAATTTACTTTTTTAACCAATCAAGCATTAAATTCCTTAATCTTTTGTTAAAAAAATGAAGCGTAGTATAAAAAAAAGCAGAAGCATGTTCTGTAAACTCGAAGGATATTCTTACATTATGTGTTCTCAAGTAGAAAACTAACTCAAAATATCAAATTACCGATTCAACATTATTCAAGGGAAGTAGAATATTTGGAACAATAAAAACAATGGAAATTGAGTTAAAGTTTTTGTAAAAGTAAGACATTAAAAATTTAATTAATTTTCTACAATTGAATTATTAAGGAAATAGGAGTGAGAAATTTAGAAAGTTTCAAAAGGCTTTTATCGTCACTAACAAGAGCAAACGTTTGCTTGACAGAAGTTGTTGACTCCATTGCCTTAAATGCACGAATAGAATCAAAAGCCTTACTAAATTATATTTCTATTTTTTGGAGTATAAGAAAACATAAGGTGCATTAGTACGTTATGAACTAAATAAGTGCCTTTTGGGAAAAAGACAAATTACTACTTGAGGAAGTGTTCTCTGAGTGTAAATATCAATTAAAACATTGATGAACTATATGAAATGCGAAAGTTAATTTAATAATTGATTCTATTATAAAACAAGTAAGCTATAATTTTGTCGTAGTTTCATTACATTTAACAATGAATAGTTTCATTACTAATAAATTATTTTATTTATTTACAATATTTTTTATCTATATTTCTAAATTTGCATAAAATACAATTATTCAGATTGTTAATTGAAATCGTGCCACTGGGATCCATTTTCAATATGCACTCTACGAAAACAATCAACATCGCAAAAAGGGTGTATTCAAATAACTTAAAGATCAATATCAGCAAAACAAAATACATGTGTTATCATTAGTCATAAAAATGTTTACAATAATTCCACACTGATAATAAATAACAATCTGTCGGAAAAAGTCAATAAAAGAAAATATCAACAGAACAAATGTTTCACATAGATATGGTTAAAGCTGTATTAACAGTTCCAAGAAGCCATGATTTTAATTTGAATTTATTAACATCCTTTAATAAATTATATGTGAAGACAGACACTTGGCACAAGTACATACAAGTCAAAAGAAGTAGTTGTGCAAAAACACTATAATGCTTACAACCACTTTTCAAACACAACAACCTTAGTGCAAAGAACAGAAAGCTGATCTACAGCCAGATAATTAGACCAGCACTACTTTATGGGTGTGTCGCGTATAGCAAAGCTGCCAACTCTACTATCCAGAAGTTGCTTAAAGCCATGCTCTCCAAAGACTCTTTAAAGTGCCATGGTACATCCGCACGAATGACATGCTAAGAGATCTTAGAATAGATCCGGTTAAAAAATACATAAGGGACAAAGCCCTGAAGCTATATGAGAAAACCAACAGGCTGCCCTACTTAGCGCTATCTAATTTTAGAGTAATCACTAACCGCACGAGGCGGTACGCAGATCTTAGATCAATCATTGAATAATCACAAAGCTTATGAGGAATACACAAATTAGTCAGTGAGATGGGTGGACTCTGCAGAAACCCCACAGCTATCAAAGAGTAAAAGTGCCCAAATGCATTAAGTCGGAAGAGGCTCAACATTAGACATTAGACAGTCTTATTGTATGCCATGAAAAATTGGGCGATCAAAATTTCTGAAAGTGGATACATAGAAATCTATTTAAAATGACATGAACCAATCATATATTAAACAGCAAAGCATTACGAAGATTTAATGCGGATAAAAATTTCTGAGATATATCAAACAGAGAATATTATACGTTTAATACCTTAATTTTTTGTAACCCTTATTATCACCTGTGAACTTATATTGTATGAAAATATTTTAGATAAAGAAAGGAAGTTATCATGACTCAGAAATATAAGGCAAAATGGATTGGAGTGTGAAATAGATTGGAGTGTAAAATGGATTGAAAAGAGATATCTTTTAAAATATTATTGAAAACACATAAGATTATATTTTTTATGTATGAATTTGTTCTATATGACCATTAACATTTGCTAACGAATTAGAAATAAAGAAGAAATATACTTTATATATACAAATTTATATATATATTTATATATAAAAAATAAAATCATATATAATATGAATAATGATGTTAGGCCAAGTAAATTAAATGTAGTAACCAAAATTCATGCAATTCCTATGCGTCCAGAAGAACGATAATACTTTATTACACCACGGTATAGTAATAAATAATACTATTGGTAAATATTTTTTTCAATATAGCGGCACTTGAAGAGCAAAGACTTAAATCCGTGCAGCTCTCATAAATTATTTATGTAGGTATTTAAAATATAAATGTTTAATAAAAACTGTTTATAGAACACTACACACTGATTTTTTTTCACTCATTACCTACCTTTATTAATAAAATAAATTGCTATATTGAAAATTAAAAAGACTCAAAGGTCATCGGTCCATCAGCTACTCAGGTGCATTCAGAAAATACGTTAAGTTATGCTGTTGATAAACTAGTGCCATGATTAAAACATACTTGTCAAAAAGGGAAGAAACTCGGAAAGAAAACTATCAATGGACTATCCATGGAACAGAGTCATGAACAATGATATATTTCTTTTCTTTGTGTCGATGAACATGCGGTTGAGAGATTCTTGTGATACCAACAAATTATTAAGAAAAGTTGTTTTCAGCAATGAGTAAATGGTGTGATCTTCCAAATCTTCTAACTTGACGCTTGTAGAGCATTTTTATGAAAGTATTGAAAACCATTGATCTATGCGGAAAAGACAGTAACCATTATTTTTTCTTTCAGAATTGTGAAAAAACAGCATTAGTCTGATTAAAACAAATTGACATTACTTTTAAAATATGTTAAGTGCATATTTTTGACATATGTTTTTTGTTATTTTGTGTACAACATGAAATATAAAAATTGTAAAAAAAAATTACGACTAATAATGATTTCAGCTACGAAAATAAATATGAAGTACGTCTTAAATACAGCTTTAAGGTTCAGCATTAAATATACAAAATAGTTATAGAACATTACAGTTTCAAAGATGCAGTTGCTAAAATGAATGTACTACTGATAATTGAAAACCCCAAAACTGCAAAGCTTTAACAACAGATGTCTTCGGTTAATTTTGCGCATTTGTTGGCCGAGTATGACCTCTAATGTGCGACTATGGCATGTAATTATTTAGGAGCCCCTCAAGAAAGAGAGTCAACAACGAAAATATATATATATATACACGTTAAGCAAAAGCAGAAATAACGTAGCACATGCAGCACTAACCTGGAATCTGCAAGACAGTAGAACACGACGACGACCACGCAATACTTGGCGTAGAACCGTAAACAATGAAACAAATAAATCGATAGGTTAAATGAGATATATCGCTCGAAATAGGCAAAATTGGAAAACTTTTGTACAAACTCTTTGTGAATAGGCTAAGTTTATACAATCAAATATTGTACAGAACATGCCATAATAATAATATTACTGATATATTTTATTAAATACTTAATAAAATATATATATATGTTTGG